AAGTTGTCATGACAAAGACACTGACAGGTTATGATGTTATGGTTTATGTCAAGGTGTCATAACAAAGACATATTAGACAATGTCATATTTGCATTCAAAATGTCATTATTGAGCGAAAGACACTTAATGACAGTTGTCATAAACATGCATAAACCCTACTTCATATTCATGACATATGTCATGTCATGGTTATGAAGGTGTCATGTCAGTCTTATGTACACCCCTTCAAGTAAAGTGTTACCAATAATTTCATAGTTAATTCAGTTAAATTTCAAAGTTAATTCAGACACTGCTAAACACCTGCTGTTAACAAGCAGAATCATTGAAGGAAAGAGGAACAAGAAGAACAGAAAAAGACATTAATGTCAGATAAAAGACATTAAATCTCTGAAGATCTTAGCAGAGGAGGATTAAACAACTCCATAAACAGCATTACCAGCTTCACTTATTACTAACCTGTTTGACTTTATTTCTGTCAGATGTCTACAGAAGTTCTTATTAAAAGGTGACAGAGGTTTAGATATCATTTTATTTTCATTTGATGTTACCATGATGGTGATCAATGTTTGCTTTAGTTGGGCTCTTGACCCTTGACTTTTGAACTTTAATTTTTCTTTGGCTGCGGTAGCTGTGTCTTTAAAATACATTTGCTATGGCAAAAAAGCTGAAAGAAAACAGGATCAGATGACAATGGCTGTTTGTTAATGGTCACAATCATCATTTAGTGGCCTGATTTACTGATCTCTTTTACTGTCTAATGTATTTATATGGGTTATGTTTTGTATTTTTGAATAAGGTATCACTGTGATTTTACAGATCGAGATCTATTGTAGTTTTGACAACCAGAAAATATGAAGGATTTAAAAAAGTTTATGCTCAGAACATTTTGAACTTCTAGATCAGCCAGGCACTCACAGACATCAAGAATCGACATATGAATCTCAACAATGGTGACAGTCAAAAGTGTTATGCTGCAATGCATGCTGCAGCATGAATAAATTATGCAGCTGAATTGTCTGGTTATTTTCTGTAATTTTTACTTTGCTTTTATTTTTGCTGTTGGTTTTGTGTTACTGTCTAATGTATTTATATGGGTTATGTTTTGTATTTTTGAATAAGGTATCACTGTGATTTTACAGATCGAGATCTATTGTAGTTTTGACAACCAGAAAATATGAAGGATTTAAAAAAGTTTATGCTCAGAACATTTTGAACTTCTAGATCAGCCAGGCACTCACAGACATCAAGAATCGACATATGAATCTCAACAATGGTGACAATCAAAAGTGTTATGCTGCAATGCATGCTGCAGCATGAATAAATTATGCAGCTGAATTGTCTGGTTATTTTCTGTAATTTTTACTTTGCTTTTATTTTTGCTGTTGGTTTTGTGTTGACTTTTAGTAGCGTGTTTTGTGATGTTCAGATTTGATGTTATCTTTTTTGTTGATTGTCACCATTGGTGAGATTCAGTTAGACTGTGTCTAACTGAAGCCGTAGTTAATTATTATTATTTTTTTAATCAGTTAAAAATCAAAATCAGTTCAAAAACTCATTTCGCATCACTGCTTGATCTTTTGCTGTAGTTTCACAGTGTAGTAATATAAAATTAAAGGGTTAGTTCACCCCAAAATTAAAATTATGTCAGTAATTACTCACCCTCATGTTGTTCCAACCCTGTAAGACTTTAGTTCATCTTCAGAACACAAATTAAGATATTTTTGATGTCTCATTCCTTCATATGCTGCTAGTAATTGCATCTGCCGGCCCAGAAAAGTTAGTAAAGACATTGTTAAAATAGTCCAAGTGACTACAGTGGCTCAACCTTAAGTTTATCAAGCGACAAGAATAGTTTTTGTGCGGAAAACCCCCCAAAAAATAACGACTTTAATCAACTATTAATTTTCTTCTGTGTGGGCCTCTGAGTGAGTTCACGAGATCTCCACGACGCATGCGCAAGAACTGAGAAGATGGCGCTCGCGATCAGTTGATGGGAAAATGTGAAATGTAAGCCATTCATTTTGCGGCATTGGCATGGCACTTTTACGTCTTCTCGTTGGTTTCTCACGATTCGGACATCCAGGAAATCCACATTTTAGAACCATGTTAAAAACACTAAATCGAGACCAATCTGTGTCATCTTCTCAGTTCTCGTGCATGCGTCGTGGCGCTCGGTAACTCACATCAGATTCTCACACAGAAGAAAATGAATAGTTGAATAAAGTCGTTATTTTTGTGCACAAAAAGTATTCTCGTCGCTTGATAAACTTAAGGTTGAGCCACTGTAGTCACTTGGACTATTTTAACGATGTCTTTACTAACTTTTCTTGGCCGGCAGATACAATTACTAGCAGCCTATGAAGGAGTGAGCCAGCTCTCAGATTTCATCAAAATTATCTTAGATTGTGTTCTGAAGATGAACGAAAGTCTTACGGGGTTGGAACAACATGAGGGTGAGTAATTACTGACAGAATTTTTATTTTTGGGTGAACTAACCCTTTAAACTGTATTAAAATTAACACATTTTTGATAAGGGATCAGACACAGGATGAGATCAGTGATGCAAACATTATGTGATGACATCATAATCAGCAACACCTGATCTAATTTTTGTTGCCACTACAACAAATGTGTCTTAAAAACACACAGTTGCATCAGCCAAAGAAAACCTAATGTTAAAGTGATCTCCATAATGGTAACGTCAAATGAAACAAAACAACATCTCTGTTAATTCTCAATAGGAATTTCTGTAGACATATGAAAAAATAAATGAAGTAAATCTGGTTAGTAATAAGTGAAGCTGGTATTGCTATTTTTTGGAGTTGTTTAATCCTCCTCTGCTGAGATCTTCAGAGATGTAATGTCTTCTGTGGCTGAAGTCAGTTGTAGTTCTTGTGTTTTGCTTTTTTCTGTTCTTGTTGTTCCTCTGTCCTTCTGTGATTCTGCTTGTTAACATCAGGTGTTCATCACTAATGTTCAATCATCAGTTAATTAATCACTGAATTATATCATTAACTTCAACACTGCTTAAGTGTCACTCCAACACTCTGTAGTGTGGACAGACAAGTATTCATTTAAAACTAAAGATTTTGCAGTGGGATTAAAAGGGTTAAATGTGTCAAATAAAAAAAAACAGTGAAGCGTAATTTAACCGTAATCAACTGTAAATTAATTCACAGCTGCCAGTAGATTAGATTGAAGGAAAAACAGTAATATACTGTAAAATGTAACAGTCAGATTTACTAAACGAAAGAAGTTAATTTCACTGAAATATTAGTGAAAGTTCATAGAAAAAAAGTTATGCAAAGTCAAACTGATAAGGAGAGCAAATATTAAACTGAAGTGTTTTATGTGTTTTTGCACAAGATGATATAATGATATCTCTAACAGAGAGATTTGTTAGTTTAATAAATTAGTTTTGTGGGTCACCATTGTGCTGGAGAATAAAGCCTGTGCTTCAGTCAAATGAGCAGAGAAATACAGATGTTATGCTGCCGGTTGCTTTATTTAAAAGCAGTAAATGTGTAGTTGCTGAAGCAGTGACAATCTCCTTCCTAAGTACATTAGCACATGCATGTGTGCTATTGTTCGCTAAATACGAACTGCAAATATTTTAGTTAGTCATGTTTTTAATTAATTCACTATTACACATTAGATCTTTGCAGTTTTATATTAAGAGATATTAATTTTCAGTGGACTCAAATGAAGTAAGTTCACAGTACTATCAGTATACTAGTTTTTAAACTCGAACTGTTTGAAGCAATCGGTTTCCCAAATGATATGAGTTACCTTTATTGGTATTTTTATGGAAACATACTGTAAAAATGAGAGCTGTAAATGAACGGTAAAGGGCTGTAAATTAACAGTACATTGCTGGCAACCACAGCTGCCAGTAGATTACTGTTATTTTACAGCGCAATTTTTTACAGGGCTATTTTTAAACTGACATTTTCTCGATTCACAGATACCACTGTCATTATAACTGTTATTTTTTTCCATTTAGGTGTTTTATTATTATTATTATTTTTATCCATTTATTTTTTTCTCAAAATAATGAATATTATTTGCATATTAGCAAATTCCATCTTTAACTGGTATTCTTCCAATGAGATGGTTCTTTATTAGTAGTATTATTATATTTCTTATCTCATGTCTATTTTCTTTGTTTTATTTAACTACTATTTGTGTACAGTATGTGCAATACCGCAATAGCTACCACGGAACTTTTTGAAATTCATGTCAATACTGATTGGCTGACACTAGCCGATTCAAAAGCAGGCTCACTAACAGACAGGGAAAAATATTCTAAATAAGATAATTTCACACTTTTATGAGCCCTCAAAAATAATTGAGCACAGGCACAACCTCAAATACAATATAATGAAATATTAGCAATTTATATGTTTCTTATTTCATCAGAATACTGTCAATTTAGATTTTTATCACCAAATGGTATAGTTACAGTATCTACCAGAATGAGTTAACTTGGCAATGCTAACTATAGCCAAAATACAGGTAACTGAATGACTCCATATACAGATGTCAAGGATAGGGACAGCTGTGGTTCATTATATTCTTCCTTTGGGATATAATAATTAAAACTTTAAATCCTACACTAATGTATGAAACAGACGCTTCAAACGTCAGTGATTTCACCTGAGCGACACTCGCTGGGCTGTCGGGGAATTAAAGAGAATTAAACCTGTTTCCGAGTCTGTCAAACAAGCTTCTTCAAACTGCCAATTTCTCATCCTGAAAATTGAAAGTGAAATAAGTGTCCCTCGTGAGAACAACAGCAGATATATACTGTAACAAAATGTCTTGAATCAAAATGGAATCATCCGCTCCTTTTTTGTTTGCTTATGTAAAATAGGATTTAGTTATTTCACTTACAACAAATGCCATGGCCATGTCTCTTTTATTGTGCACTGCCCTTCTGCTTTATATTGTGCTTTATATTCTTTTGCATTGTAAATGTATGTTGCTTCTTCTCTTCATAGATTGACCATAAACGCAGAATGCCAGCTTCAACTGCATAACTTTCCTATGGATGAGCACTCCTGCCCACTCATCTTCTCCAGCTGTGAGTATCTCTTCCTTTTAGTCTCCTCGGATTCACAACTCTAGATTTCCATTTCTTATCTTCTTTGGTTGTGAATGTTTTGGTTTGTTCTTTGTTCTTTGTACAAGACAACCTTGCGCATTCAAGTAGCTACAACAATATCAATATGCCTTTTGAAATGCTTCATTTGAAGCATAGCAGTACAGTGTTGCCAGGGCTGGGGGGCATGTGTTCAAGTGAGTAAAAGGGAAACCCTCTTCTAATTATTAATAAAAAGTAAAGTTATATATTGTTGATAATCTTTCAATTAATTACACTATTTAACACTATACACTATAAAAGTGTTTTAACAGTGGTTTCATTTCACAACGGTGATAAACAGTGCCGAAGTTTACGGCAAACACGATCGTTACCTGGCTGTCACCAATGAAGGCAGGTCCTGAAGACGCCGGTTACATTGGTCCCGTTGACCCTGATGGGGACCCGGTGAGGTTTAGGGGGGTGAGTGTAAAAGAGGTCAGCTAGTGAGAGCTGTGTGGGTAAACCTCACTCCCCTGATCTCAAGAGGCGCATTAGTGACAGATGCTAGATGCTGTGGTCTTTAGTGTCCTTGTTAGCACGCACACCTCCCATACGCTGGTTCGAATCCTGCTCAGAGCGGGGCGAGTAGAATCAGACGGGTTACAGGTGCGTATAGGCTACTTCGATCTTTTTGAATCAATGGTCAAAGCATTTCTCGCTCAGTTGCCTTTTATGCTGTAAATGTTCAGTTTAGAAGAACAATATCCCCTGGAATGTCTTTGAAATATCCACATATCTTCACAAACAAGCGAGAAATGTTCTGAAAAGCCACTATAGGATTCGATTATATTACATTTCTCTCATAACAACAACACCAATAAAATTCTCATCCTATTGTTTGATTAATAGCAGGTAAACCAGTCTTGCCACAAAAGCAATTCAAACTCTATTTGGCAATATTTCACCTGTGAAAGGGGCGTTTATATTGGAGTCACAACAGCAAAAAAATTTACTGTTTAATTTTAAAGGTGAAAAAGGAAGGAAATTGTCAATGAAAACCTAAATTATGACTGTTTTGGGATAAAATAAACTACATTATATATGGACTTCAGGGGGGAAAATAAGAGGAAAACACACAATATGACCCCTTTAACTAAGAGAGACAATCAGAAGTGATATTTAGCCTATAAAATCGGATTTTATGGATAATATTGCAAGAGCACATTTCTGATGGTAGACATGGTATTGCTCAAGGGAATGTGTCACAGCTGATTATGATTTCATGCTTTATGATGTAATGTTTCATTTTTGCTCTCCATGTATTCTCTTATATAGAAACTAGGCCATGGATTTCATTGCATGTATACACCAAGGGCACAGATAGGCTGGTAATTACTCTGCATGTCCGATGGGCTCTTGAAAGCTGGCTTCATTAGTAGGGTGTCATGAATGACATTACTCAAGGGTGATTGGTAATGGGTGTTGCATCTGTGGTGTTAAGAGTCCAGACAAAGAAGGACATAGGTAAATTGGAAAAGTTTGTGTCCCTGGGTAATATGATTTCTCACTTTTGTTTCTCACCCAGCCTCTGTTTCTACCCCCTAATTCACACATCAAGGCTCTCTGCTCTTCTCGAAATGTTTTTTTTTCTCACTTATTTGTGGAGCCATGCTCAGAATGACATACCGAACCAACGTCCATTTACAGAAAGCTATGTATTACATCATGCCCATTTTCAGCAGTAATTTTATTAGAGATTGTGTGGAAAGCACTAACCAAAGATGTTCTTTCACAAATGAAAGTTTTATTGAGAAAGACACTTTATAATGAATGTTTAATGGTTGTTTACTTAATGATTGCATTAGAAGATACAGGGATTTGAATTCAAAGTATTATTTTTACAAATTAGCAGATAATTATTGATTGTCGACTTTATATTATATGGCATGAAACATGACATTTGTGTGTTTGTATGTTTACTTATTGCTGATAATTAGTTTTGATTTGATTTGAAATATGTTTTAAAGCTTGGCCTTGACTTTATTGAGTTGAATCACTGAAGAAGGTTCTACATCTAGAAATATTTGAGGGTTGCTCTTTCATTGCCATGGAAACTTTTGATCTCACTCTTTTAGTTATTTTGGCAAATAGTTTGTGACATATCTCTGCCTCACCAGGAGGTACTAAACCAGGTTCCAGGGATGCTTGGAAAGTTTTTGATTTTGCAATGCATGTAAAATTTATGATGGGGATAATAAATGCTTAATCTATTGAGAGCCCAATTTTTTGTTTTAATTGTATTTATTTATGTATTTTTTATCATGATTATCTCATGACACATATATCTAGATATTTCTGCAACAGCTTTTTTGCCTCACTCAAAAGGAATAATCAAAAATGTTAATAATGGTCATTGTAGTTATGCTAATAATTGTTACGGGTGGTGTTGGCAGAAGAAGAAGGTTAGGCGCAAAGGTTCCAATACAAATTACTTTTACTTCCAATAACTTTCGGTAACGGGTACAGGCAGGATAACACACACTTTACATAAACGAGAACGGACCAGGAATGAGGGAGAACACAGGGTTTAAATACACAGAGAACAGATCAGGGAAACAAGGCACAGCTGGGGCAAATTAACACAACACAGGTAAATGAACTGAACACAAATGAGGAGCAGGAAAACTGGAACACAGGACTGAACCAAAAACACTAAGCAGGGGGAAACACAGGACACACATGTAACAATAATAATGTTAATATGCAGTATAATACGAGTTCAAAGAAACACATTTTTGCTTTGGTGTCGATGAAGAGGTACTTGATTATTACTGATGGGGCTTTGAGGTATACCAAAAATGGCTGCTCTAGAGGAGAAAAAACAATCAGGCGACTATAAGTAAAAGTCTCAATTGGTCTACATTTAATTGAATTGCTGTCTAGGAGAAACAATTGAATTATTAATGGTATTAAGTGAGTTTATGCTTTAAACAAGAAAAATATCTGCCAAGTGGGTCAGAACAATAAATGTAATTCTAAAGGAAAACGTACTCGGTTACTAACGTAACCTCGGTTCTCTCTAGAAAAGGGAACGAGTACTGCGTAATATCTTACACTAGGGGAAAACCTCTTTTCCATGAGGTATTGAAGCCAAAAATAATCCTTAATTTTGAATTAATGTAAAACGCCTTGCGGCAGCATGCAAACGTGGGCAAGACGGCTAGCGTGCCTATTGGCTGTCCTGCGGCAACTGCAGCAGCCTATCGAAAGAGGCCCTCCGTGACGTCAGATCCAATGGGGGCGCTTCGCGCCCACTACGTCATGTCCCGGTGAAACGGGTGTGGCCTGGGCCTATAAATATAGCTCGATGGGCTGATATAATCTGTTTTTTCATCGCCGAAGCGAACCAGAGCGTGTTGCAGGCACGGCAAAGATACGCAGTACTCGTTCCCTCTTCTAGAGAGAACCGAGTTTACGTTAGGGGTTCTCTCGTACTGCGTAATATCTTACGCTAGGGCATAGGTCGGCAACCCGCGGCTCTAGAGCCGCATGCGGCTCTTAAGCGCCGCCCTAGTGGCTCCCTGGAGCTTTTTCAAAAATTTGAAAATGGAAAAAATATTTTTTTTGTTTTAATATAATTTCTGTATGAGGAAAAACATGACAAATATTCTTAAAGTTTTTCAACGTTGTAAAAATGTGTATGATAAATATTTAATTTCAACATTTCTGTCACTGAAGAATTTACGTCATAGACTGTGACACACGTGTCTGTCAGATCGGCGTGATGGTAGACCGGTGGCTGACAAACAAACAAACAAACCGGCGGGTGTGTCATGGGCCATGGATCCCAAGGGGAAAAAGAGAAAGATAGCTGAGCACTCCCAACGCAATAGAGTGCGGCGCGGGACTAGATTTGATGGCCGAGCGCGAGCGCGGGCGCTTGCGGTAATGCACTCACTCTACTAAAACAAAATAGAAACGATTTACAGGGCAGAATTTCTATTCATAACATGTTTGCAGCGTTGAGCGATATAGCCAATCACAGACATATGTGTTGATTTCTTGAACGCAATGGCCAATCAGAAGCATTTAAGATAGACTCCCCTCACCGCTCGAAACTGACGTTTTTGTTCAGTGCTGAATTCTGTATGCTGGCAAATCCTTTAATTATAATGAACAAAGTGTGGATATTATGAAAGATTCATTGTGCAGTCAGCTTCATTGATAATAACAGAGATGTGTGAGATCGCGATGAACTGATGTCAGCTTTTTACAGATTATTAAGAGAGCGCACTTTGCGCGCATTCAGTCATGGCAAACCATGCACGCAGTAAACTGCTTGCTTTCATGTTAAATTAACAGTGGTTTGTGTTTTAATGCTTTAATAACAAATAATTTATCAGGAGGATGTATGGTGGCGACACGTAGGCTAACTTGAAAGTATTTGGAGGTACAGAAAAAAGTGTATTTGCGGGCGGGAGCGGGACAAAACAAATGTTGCGGGCGGGAGAAAGAAAGTTGAGAACGTCAGTTATAACGACCCACGCATTAAAAAATGGTCGGGTTAAAATCGGGCTCGGGCTCATAATTACGTTTAATGTGTCGGGCCGGGCCGGGCCGGGCTTGATTTTTTGGGCCGTTCTAAGCTCTAATTTGTAGCCTACTTATCATTTTGATACTAATAAAGCTAATATAACACTTACAGCATGTGTTGCCTTCATTATAAGGCTTATATAACGCTTTTAATTTTTTGCGGCTCCAGACAGATATTTTTTATTTTTTTTGGGTCCAATATGGCTCTTTCAACATTTTGGGTTGCCGACCCCTGCGCTAGGGGAACACAATGTAAAACGCCGTGCGTGCTGGGATCCAACACCAAAGTCCCAAGGGCAGGTGCCCGGGGCTCATATAGTGCATAATCACCAGGGACTCACAGAGAGTCTGAGAACAGAGGCTAGAAGCGTCATTCCCAATAAGTAGCATCCTAAGGGAGCTAACCA